TAACACTACCCCTACCACTACTAACTCTACCCCTACCACTACTAACGCTACCCCTACCACTACTAACACTACCACTTCTAACACTACCCCTACCACTACTAACACTACTAACACTACCCCTACCACTACTAACACTACCCCTACCACTACTAACACTACCCCTTCCACTACTAACACTACCCCTACCACTACTAACTCTACCCCTACCACTACTCACGCTACCCCTACCACTACTAACACTACCACTTCTAACATTACCCCTACCACTACTAACACTACCCCTACCACTACTAACACTACCCCTACCACTACTAACACTACCCCTACCACTACTAACTCTACCCCTACCACTACTAACGCTACCCCTACCACTACTAACACTACCACTTCTAACACTACCCCTACCACTACTAACACTACCCCTACCACTACTAACACTACCCCTACCACTACTAACACTACCCCTACCACTACTAACACTACCCCTTCCACTACTAACACTACCCCTACCACTACTAACTCTACCCCTACCACTACTAACGCTACCCCTACCACTACTAACACTACCACTTCTAACACTACCCCTACCACTACTAACACTACCACTACTAACACTACCCCTACCACTACTAACACTACCCCTACCACTACTAACACTACCCCTTCCACTACTAACACTACCCCTACCACTACTAACTCTACCCCTACCACTACTAACGCTACCCCTACCACTACTAACACTACCACTTCTAACACTACCCCTACCACTACTAACGCTACCCCTACCACTACAAACACTACCACTTCTAACATTACCCCTACCACTACTAACACTACCCCTACCACTACTAACTCTACCCCTACCACTACTAACACTACCCCTATCACTACTACACTACCCCTACCACTACTAACGCTACCCCTACCACTACTAACACTACCACTTCTAACACTACCCCTACCACTAATAACACTACTAACACTACCCCTACCACTACTAACACTACCCCTACCACTACTAACACTACCCCTTCCACTACTAACACTACCCCTACCACTACTAACTCTACCCCTACCACTACTCACGCTACCCCTACCACTATTAACACTACCACTTCTAACATTACCCCTACCACTACTAACACTACCCCTACCACTACTAACACTACCCCTACCACTACTAACACTACCCCTACCACTACTAACTCTACCCCTACCACTACTAACGCTACCCCTACCACTACTAACACTACCACTTCTAACACTACCCCTACCACTACTAACACTACCCCTACCACTACTAACACTACCCCTACCACTACTAACACTACCCCTACCACTACTAACACTACCCCTTCCACTACTAACACTACCCCTACCACTACTAACTCTACCCCTACCACTACTAACGCTACCCCTACCACTACTAACACTACCACTTCTAACACTACCCCTACCACTACTACCCCTACCACTACTAACACTACCCCTACCACTACTAACACTACCCCTACCACTACTAACACTACCCCTTCCACTACTAACACTACCCCTACCACTACTAACTCTACCCCGACCACTACTAACGCTACCCCTACCACTACTAACACTACCACTTCTAACACTACCCCTACCACTACTAACGCTACCCCTACCACTACAAACACTACCACTTCTAACATTACCCCTACCACTACTAACTCTACCCCTACCACTACTCACGCTACCCCTACCACTATTAACACTACCACTTCTAACATTACCCCTACCACTACTAACACTACCACTTCTAACACTACCCCTACCACTACTAACACTACCACTACTAACACTACCCCGACCACTACTAATGCTACCCCTACCACTACTAACACTACCCCTTCCACTACTAACACTACCCCTACCACTTCTAACTCTACCCCGACCACTACTAACGCTACCCCTACCACTACTAACACTACCACTTCTAACACTACCCCTACCACTACTAACGCTACCCCTACCACTACAAACACTACCACTTCTAACATTACCCCTACCACTACTAACTCTACCCCTACCACTACTAACACTACCACTTCTAACACTACCCCTACCACTACTAACGCTACCCCTACCACTACAAACACTACCACTTCTAACATTACCCCTACCACTACTAACTCTACCCCTACCACTACTCACGCTACCCCTACCACTATTAACACTACCACTTCTAACATTACCCCTACTACTACTAACACTACCCCTACCACTACTAACACTACCCCTACCACTACTAACACTACCCCTACCACTACTAACTCTACCCCTACCACTACTAACGCTACCCCTACCACTACTAACACTACCACTTATAACACTACCCCTACCACTACTAACACTACCCCTACCACTACTAACACTACCCCTACCACTACTAACACTACCCCTACCACTACTAACACTACCCCTTCCACTACTAACACTACCCCTACCACTACTAACTCTACCCCTACCACTACTAACGCTACCCCTACCACTACTAACACTACCACTTCTAACACTACCCCTACCACTACTAACACTACCACTACTAACACTACCCCTACCACTACTAACACTACCCCTACCACTACTAACACTACCCCTTCCACTACTAACACTACCCCTACCACTACTAACTCTACCCCGACCACTACTAACGCTACCCCTACCACTACTAACTCTACCACTACTAGCTTTACCCCTACCACTTCTAACTCTACCCCTACCACTACTAACACTACCACTTCTAACATTACCCCTACCACTACTAACACTACCCCTACCACTACTAACACTACCCCTACCACTACTAACACTACCCCTACCACTACTAACTCTACCCCTACCACTACTAGCTTTACCCCTACCACTTCTAACTCTACCCCTACCACTACTAACACTATCCCTATCACTACTACACTACCCCTACCACTACTAACACTACTAACACTACCCCTACCACTACTAACACTACCCCTACCCAGTGGCGGCTCCTGCAAAATCTCTCAGGGGGGGCAAATGTCTGGATGATTGATAAGGATAAGGTCCACCCATGCCATGGATAAATTATCAGCTTAAGCATGTAAAGGCAACTTCACTTCTTTAATATTAATGAAAAATAAAGTGACTCTTACAATACATCTTGTTTGTTTCTATACTCGCTATTAAAACAAACCACTCAAGTTTATTTTATTAAAGATTCCACTAGGTAGCGATAAATTATATTGTTGGATGAAACGTGCTTATGTATGATGACGTAAGCACGTATGATGACGTTAGCACGTTAGGGCTCGCCCTCCCGGAAGCCATAGAGAATGCATGGGAGCGCCCCCGTTCGAAAAAAAACATCTTTGAATGTAAGTCTATGGGGCCACTCGGGGCGATTCTCAGCCGGAGTGAAATCGCCCAAAAAGAGGCGGTACTCCACAGAACGTGACATGACGCTGATTGGACTATATCGAGAGGCTGACAGTGACGGCTAGCGTTACTCTGTGGTTCAATGACATTGGTGGTGTGTCGCCCAATCGCCCTAATGAAGAAACCGCCCCTGCCCCTACCACTACTAACCCTACCCGTAAAACGAGTGACTGAGTGAGATGCAAATCTCCGTCTCAAGAGTTCCAGTTCAGGGCTCTATTCTGCTGTCCACTTGAGTGTCCGTGGGAGGTGTGTCAGTTTGACACATGGCAGGCTTTCGCGACAAATATCATCCATAATAGAGGTTTTTTGGCCTATATCGCATGAATATATAAATGTGTCGTTAAAACCCGACACCACCCGACACAGACAACTAGTAAGGGTTATTATTATTATTTTTTTCCATCTACGTGACTTTACCAAAAGAACCAAAGTGTATGAATTCCTGCAGTCACGATAGCCTCAAATCTAGATTAGTAAGAGTTGTCACGTAAACAGAACGTGGCAATTCGGGATTACTGAGTCAACGTACATTATGCATTCGATTTCTTTATTTGCACTCAATTCTCTTTAGGCGTTTGCTTCACTGAAATTAATATTTGTTTTTGGCAATTTGCTTTTCTCATTAGTTAATATCTGGTACAAAAGATGTATTACCGATGCTATCAACAGAAGGTGTGTACAGGATTAACTGCACGTGTGGTAAATGTTATGTTGGGCGAACAGGACGATTCATCAGCACGAGACTAAAAGAACATCAGAGAAACATTAAATTATCCCAAATGCAACTGTCAGCAGTAGCAGAACAGGCGTGCCAACAAGGACACTGAATTTATTTTGATAATGTTGAAGTGTTGTGCAAAACTAGCTACTACTGGCCAAGACTAATTAGAGAATCTATGGAAATTGAAAGAAATATAACATAATTTTAACCGTTCGAATAGCTACCACCTTAGTGCAGCGTGGAAGTGAAACATCAAACAATACATTATTTAAATGCATGTCTATGAAGGGCATCATTCTCCCATAAGGATTACCGTTGGTAGGGCTATTTTAATACACACAATAAACAGGAAGGACAAGTTCAAAGGGCTCGCATAATGCACATGCATCATGTACGTTGCCTCAGTAATTCCCTTCCCCCCCCACGTGGCGCAAGAGTGTAGAAGAGTGGTAAACACATCTACGCCTGATGAAGCTAGTTGTAATTACTGACGAAATGTAATACTCGGATTGTAAATGTTATGGTTTGGTTCTCCAACACACAGGTGCGCTGTACTAGTATACTACAGTATACACTACACCATACACTACACTATACACTACACACTAGTGCTGTACTAGTGACGAATTGGCATCTTCTGTTTGCGTGACAACCCTTACAAGTTGGCTGTGTCGGCTGGTGGCGGGTTTGAACGGCACATTTATATATTTACACAATCTAACTCGAAAAAAAATATATTATGGGAGGTCTGTGTGTGTGTGGAGATGAGAGGCTGCCATTCCTCTGTCGGGAATTGGACCGGTCCCGTCTGGACCTCTGTGGAATGCAGGTGGTGCAGTGACACAATGTATGAGGACATCGACAATGAGTCCTTTCCATCGCCCAGCGGGATAAGTCGGATGCCGCCGCCCGACGACGGTGATAGAGTCGACGTTGACTGTGATGGCAGCGACGAGGAGGCGGAGGCGGCGTGGCTTGAGGCAGCCCGTTCACGGATCAGGTCTTTGTTGCGCACGTGAGAGATGTCGGTACCAGGTGGGTCAATGTGACCTGGGGGGGGGGGGGGGGCTGGGGGTGAACGGGAGAAGAAGACAAAAGCTGAAATTATGAAACCTCGTTGGTACAGCGAGGCTCCTCCTTTTAGTTCTGTGGTTGTGGTGGTGGCTGGGTGCGTGGTTGTGGTCGGTTGTGGTGGTGATCGTGGTGATGGTGGCTGGATGGTTGTGGTGGTGGTGAATGGGTGGTTGGGTGGGTGGTTGTGGTGGTGGTGATGGTTGTGATGGTTGTGCTGGTAGGTGGGTTGTTGCTTTGATAAGTGAGGGGGCATTCTTCCAGCAGTGGATAGATCCTGGGCGATGGAGTGAACCTCACTTACAGAGTCGGACATCAGAATTCCCGTAAACAAACATTAAAACCACCAGGTTGGTGAGTCAGTGGGTGAGTGATTGGGTGAGTGAGTGGGTGAGTGAGTGGGTAAGTGTGTGGGTGAGTGTGTGAGTAAGTGAGTAGGTGGGTGAGTTAGTGGGTGAGTGGGTGAGTGATTAATTGGTTGACTCAGTGGGTGGGTGAGTGAGTGGGTGGGTGTGTGAGTAGGTGAGAGGGTGCGTGAGTAGGTGAGTGAGTGGGAGAATGAGTGCGTGGGTGAGTGGGTGAGTGAGTGTATACTTCGACTACTACTACCACTACCCCTACCACTACTAACACTACCACTACTAACACTACCCCTACCACTACTCCTACCACTACTAACACTACCCCTACCACTACTCCTACCACTACTAACTCTACCGCTACCACTACTAACTACCGCTACCACTACTAACCCAAACCCTACCACTACTAACAATACCCCTACCACTATTGACACTACCCCTACCACTACTAACCCTACCCCTACCACTACTAACACTACCCCTACCACTACTAACTCTACCCCTACCACTACTAACTCTACCCCTACCACTACTAACACTACCCCTACCGCTACTAACTCTACCACTACTAACTCTACCACTACTAACTCTACCGCTACCACTACTAACTCTACCACTACTAACTCTACCCCTACCACTACTAACTCTACCACTACTAACACTACCACTACTAACTCTACCACTACCAATTCTACCCCTACCGCTACTAACTCTACCACTACTAACTCTACCCCTACCACTACTAACACTACCCCTACCGCTACTAACTCTACCCCTACCGCTACTAACTCTACCCCTACCGCTACTAACTCTACCCCTACCACTACTAACTCTACCGCTACTAACACTACTCCTACCGCTACTAACTCTACCCCTACCGCTACTAACTCTACCCCTACCACTACTAACACTACCCCTACCGCTACTAACTCTACCCCTACCACTACTAACACTACCCCTACCACTACTAACTCTACCCTTACCACTACTAACCCTACCCCTACCACTACTAACACTACCCCTACCACTACTAACACTACCCCTACCACTACTAACACTACCCCTACCACTACTAACACTACCCCTACTACTACTAATTCTACCCCTACCACTACTAAAACTACCCCTACCACTAATAACACTACTCCTACCGCTACTAACCCTACCCATAAAACGAGTGACCGAGTGAGATGCAAATCTCCATCTCAAGAGTTCCAGTTCAGGACTCGGTGAAAAGTTTCTATTCTGCTGGCCATTTGAGTGTCCGTGGGAGGGGTGTCAGTTTGACACGTGGCAGGCTTTCACCACCAATATCATCCATAATAGAGGCTTTTTGGGTTAGATCGCGTAAATATGTAAATGTTGCGTCGTTAAAACCCACCACCACCCGACACAGCCAACTAGTGAGGGTTGTCACGTAAACAGAACGTGCCAATTCGTCACTAGTACAGCACTAGCATATAGTGTAGTGTATAGTGTAGTCTATAGTGTAATTTAGTGTAGTGTATAGTGTATAGTAGTGTATAGTGTAATGTAGTGTAATGTATAATGTGTAGTGTATAGTGTAGTGTATAGTGTAGTGTACCGGTACAGCACTAGCATATAGTGTAGTGTATAGTGTAGTCTATAGTGTAATCTAGTGTAGTGTATAGTAGTGTGTAGTGTATTGTGTAATGTAGTGTAGTGCATAATGTGTAGTGTAGTGTGTAGCAGTGTATAGTGTAGTCTACCAGTACAGCACACCGGTGTGTTGGAGAGCCCAGCCACACCATTTACAGTCTGAGTACGACGTTTTGCCAGTAATTACAGCTAGCTTCATCAGGCGTATATGTGGTGGCCACGCTTCTGCACTCGTTCACAAAGTGGGGCAATGATTATTCAACATCGCCTTGCCAGGCACAATGAGGAGAGGCTTGCGGCGCCCCAATTCGGTTTCAGGAAAGGGCGGTCCTGCAGAGATGCCATTTTTTCTGTCCCTCTGCTACAGCAGAGGTGTAGGGAATTCCCACAAAACCTACACCTCTGCTTTATTGACCTGGTCAAGGCCTTTGATGCCATCAGTAGGCCTGGGCACTGGGTTGTTCTTCGTGCTTTCGGGGTCCCTGACCCTCTGCTCACGATCATTGAGGACCTTCATGATGGTAGTTTGTGAGGTCCTTCAATAGCTATACCGGAGGAATTTCCATCTGGTACAGATACAATGAGAGGCTGATCGATGCCTGGGTGCGGTCAAGGGATGGCTCCCTATTGCTCCACCACGTTATGTATGTCGATGACCTGGTAATTGCCGCTCACTCAGAGGAGGAGTTGGAGGCGCTGCTGCTGAACCTGTAGATTGCCACTAAGAGGTGGGGACTTACCATCAGCCCCACCAAAACTAAGCACCTGCCTGGGTATTTTGTACCATTGGACACTCCACCCCCACAACTCCCAATTGGTGATAGGGCAGTTGTGGAGAGAGTGGAACGTTTCCCATACCTGGGCAGTGTGCTCATGACTGACTCTGGTTTGACAGCAGAGGTCTCACTCCTAATCAGTCGAGTGGCATTATCTTTTCATCGGTTGCGTAACGTTGTGTGGAAACTGCCTGGTCTCTCGCGCTGCACGAAGCTTCAGGTCTTCTCTGCCACAGTCATTCCCTCCCTTCTCCACACTTGCAAAAGGTGGACCCCCCAAATGGAACACCTTCGCCGGTTAGAAACATTTAGGCTGGCCTGCCTACGATCCATCCTGGGTTTAACCAGGCTGGATTGTGTGAGGAGCTCACAAATCCTTTTAAGATCTGGACAAAGTCTCATTGGTGAGTTCCTCCGGCAGGCAAGGCTGCGTTGGCTGGGTCATGTAGCCCGTATGCCCAGCCACCGCATGCCGAAACAGCTTTTGTTCGGTCGGATCGAGGTGACTAAACGGGCGCGGCACGGGCTAGAGAAGAGATGGAGTGATGTGGTACAGGAAAATGTGGAGCTGAGTGAACTTGCCGATGACTGGTACCAGCGGTGTCAAGATCGGCCTCTGTGGAGGAGGCTCGTGAAGGATGCTGCTACTGGGCAGTTGGAGGCAGTCGCCCTCCAACAACAACGGAGGTCGGAGGAGCGACGCTCACAACAACAAGCGGAGCGCCGTGTTGCTAAAGCACAGCAAGTTGGCACAGTAGGGGGCACAGGTGGTGCATCGGCTAGTCATCTCAGTCAGTCGACACGTGGCATCTGCTGGGTCTGCCCCGTGACCTCCTGCCAGCGGGCGTTCGACACTTCACGTGGCCTCAAGGTGCACATAGCCTGGCACAAGCGTTGTGGTGACGTCACCGCCACTTAGTGGCGAATGGCGCGGGTGTTGGCATTGGTGCGTGCAGGCGCGTGGGCAGGGTTCAACTCTGCTCCGCTCTGAGCTACGTACCTAGTGGAGAAATTGGTGACCTGATTGCAGCCGAATGGGGAGCGGTGGTGTAGTGGCGTTTAGCGCTACAAACTCCGGCCGATTCCGGCCCACAGTCCTGGGCCTCTTCTAGGTCGACTCGGCCTCAAATGAGTACCTGGTGTAGCGGTGATGGTGTCGTAAACATCGCCAGTGGGGAGGCAAAGGTCGTGGCACCGGCCACCCACCAGTCTGTTAGGGCCTCACTGTGGGTGATCTTTGTCCTTGTTTGCAGGGTTAAACTCAGATCTTACGAGAACCAAATGCCACCGGAGATGCTGGTGAGCCTCTCCACACGTACCTCCTGGACACACGGACAAGCGCCCTGCGCAGAGAACTCGTAGCAATGTGGACCCATCCATATTCCAACGGGAGAACGTGAAGTCCTTGCTTGACGTTGAGTGTGTATGTTGCACGTGTATGTTGCACGTGTCTGTTGAACTTCTATTGAGAGAAAGTGATGAGAGATGAAGTGAAAAGAGATAAAGTGAAGAGAGATAAAGTGAAGAGAGATAAAGTGTTGAGAGAAAGTGTGTATATTGTAGTAGTGTATTGTAGTGTTTAGTAGTGTAGTGTTTTTTTCGTGTATATTATATAGTAGTGTAGTATATAGTAGTGTAGTGTATATAGTAGTGTAGTGTATAGTAGTATAGTGTATAGTAGTATATAGTGTATAGTAGTGTAGTGTATAGTAGTATAGTGTATAGTAGTGTAGTGTATAGTAGTATAGTGTATAGTAGTGTATAGTGTATAGTAGTGTATAGTAGTATAGTGTATAGTAGTGTATAGTAGTATAGTGTATAGTAGTGTATAGTGTATAGTAGTGTAGTATATAGTAGTGTAGTGTATAGTAGTGATGAGTAGTGTAGTGTATAGTGTATAGTAGTGTAGTGTATAGTAGTGTGTAGTGTATAGTAGTGTAGTGTATAATAGTGTAGTGTATAGTGTATAGTAATGTAGAACTCGAGTCTGTCGCCAGGGAAAGGGAGGTCTGGACCACCCTACACGACACGCTGCTGCTGCTGCAGTGACCCTCACCAGGACTAGCGGATTGAGGCACGAACTAATGGACGCATTCCCTTGCTGTCACCGTATGCTCCCCCTCCCTGCTCCCTCACCGTCGCCTTCCGTAGACCTCTCGAAGTGAAGAACCGAGCCTGACTGAGCGCGACGGCGTCATCACGGCGATGGCGGGCTGCGCCGTCACCGCAGTGACGCCAGATTTCTCCGGCGACGCCTACTCGTGAGCGCACCAAAAACCCTCGTACAACTTCGTGCCGGGATGTGGTGGATGAGTGGGTGGGCGTGGTCGGTCCGGTCACGATGATTTACTTGTGACGCAGAGTACTCGGATCCCGCTGGGTACGCAAACCGACCACCCGCCCCCGATTCACGCTTGCACCTTGCGACTCGTACTTTCGCTCCACTCACGGGGGGCGCGGATGCGGAGAGTTAAAAGACACCGCCCCAGTCATCACGTCGAAGTGGATTTGAGGGTGTAACTCTATCGCCAGTGCTAGAAACGAGTCCCAAAGAAAATACCTCTTGCGTTCTAATATAAACCTTGACTTAAAACTTTCGTGACTTGCGCAGTAATTCGTATTGTTTGGGCATTTCGGTAAAGTCACGTAGATGAGGTTCAAATTAATAACAACGAAATAAACAAAAAACTACGACGTTTCGATCACAACACAATCATCATCAGGAGGAAAAAAGAGTGGGAAAGCTGCTGAAGACAGGCAGTCTGTTTATTTTATTTTTGTTAATTTGAACTTAGCTACATGACCCAAAGAATACGTTATAATGTAGTGATCAAAATCTATAGTGTTCTGATATATTAAAAATAATAATCTATAGTGTTCTGTCTGAGCCGGATGCTATCGATGATTAGTGAATAATGTACTGTACAGTGCTGTACTTCATTAGACATTAATGTACATTTATAAACATTTTTTATACACTCTTACATTGTGTAGTAGTAATATAGTAATATCTGGTACTATAGTAGTATATAGTCATAATGTAGTGTATTGTAATACAGTGGTATATGGTAGTATAGTAGTGTATAGTAGTATAGTATATATTAGTTTATGGTAATATAGTAGTGTATAGTAACATAGTAGTGTACAGTAATATAGTAGTCTATAGTATAAAGTAATATAGTGATGTATAGTAATAAAGTCGTTTATGGAAGTATAGTAGTATGTAGTAATACAGCACTATATTGTAATTCCTGCGGTCACGAACGCTTTAAGTCAATATTTGCAATATAGTAGTATATAGTTATACAGTAGTATATTGTATTATAGTTCTATTTTGTAATATAACAGTATTTAGTAATGTTGTAGGGTATTCTAGTACATAGTAGTGTGTGTATAGGTACATGTTATATTCACTCGTATAGGCAAAACCCAACTTATGATCAATGATGCACGTGCTAAGTGGTGACACTCTCCTGGCTCCCGCCCAGCAGAACACGTTGCCCACTAAGTGGACAGCAGAACCAATAGCCAATCAGACATCAATCTCAGCCCACTAAGTGGATAGCAGAGCTGCAGCCAATCAAACATCAACCCAATGAGTGGAAAGCTACACTAAACACTACACTATACACTACACTGTACACTAAACACTACACTATACACTAAACACTACACACTATACACTACACTATACACAAAACAAAACACTATACACTAAACAATATACACTACATTCTTTGGTTTTTTCGGTTAAGTCACGTCTAAAGATAAAATAATAAATTAAAATAGACGTGACTTAACCGAAAGAACCAAAGAATAATTCCTGCAGTCACGAAAGCTCCATAATTAAGAATATACACTACACTTTGCACGACACTATACTCTACACTATACACTTTATACTACACTATACAATAAACACAGCACTATACACTACTGTACACGACACTATACACTGCTATACACTACACGATACACGACATTACTATACACTATAACACTATACACTACACTATACACTATACATGCCACTATACACTACTGTACATTGCACTATATACGACACTATCCACTACTATACACTACACTACACACGACACTATACACTACTATACACTACACTATACACTACACACTACTATACACTATACACTACTATACACTACACTACTATACACTACACTATACACTACACTACTACGCTAAATTTTCCTCGCAGGTTCGACGCTTCATCAGGCGGCACCTTCCACTGCAAAGCCACCGATCTCATCTTTGAGGTGGGCGCAGCCGGGCGGCTTCGCTACGGCTGGAGGGAGTGGCCTGCCGAGCTGTTCCAAGAGCAGTTCGTCCCCATCAGCTCCACGTTTGACATCAACTGGGATGGCTGCGACGGCGGCCTTCGTGCCCTAATGATCCCGCACTACCTCGACCTGAAGCGTAAGCTTTGTTACAACGAACGCAGCCCACACGCACTATCCATTCGCTGACCGCCAATTCGGTCGTGAGTCGTTAACAGTCACTGTGTTCGCTTGAGTCACGAGTCGTTTGAGTCACGAGTCACTTGAGTTACATCTCATTTGAATAGTGAGTCATTTAAGTCGCAAGTCGTTTGAATTGCAATTCGTATTAGTCGCAAGTCACTTGAGTTGCATCAAATTTCAGTCGCGAGTCATCTCAGTCGCAAGTCATTTGAGTCGCAAGTCACTTGAGTTTCATCGCATTTTAGGCACGAGTCAGTTGAGTCACAATGCCACTCGGACCCTTGGCAAGTGAGAATTGGCGAAATAAATTGAGCACCACGGTGGCTAGGAGATGTTAACTACGTCACCTGGTATACAGGAGGGCGTGAGTTCAATCCCGACCCTGATGCCTGCTGTTTATTTGGAATCTGTGTGTCTCTCTCTCTTCCCATGGTGGTCACTGCGTGGATTTGTCTCCATGTCCTCCTCTGTTCTTTTTTCCCCCTTCACATTTAGAATCAGTGTGACACGTTTACAGTGTCTGGCTGCTGCGATAAACGTCCACACGACGACCATGATGATATCAGTGCATATTCTTGGTTCTTTCGGTAAAGTCACATAGAAGGGAAATAATATAATGATAAAAATAAAACATTATAAAATAAAATGTTCAAGACGTTTCGGTCACAACGCAAGCAGCCGTCCTGCGTTGTGGCCGAAACGTCGTGAGAATTGTATTTTATTATGTTTAAATTATTTTTTTCCTTCTACGTGACTTTATCAAAAGAACCAAGAATATGAATCCCTGCAGTCACGAAAGCTTTAAATCGAAAGATATCAGTGCACTTCGTTAAGCTGCTATCATTTACATCTTGACTTAAAGCTTTCGTTACTGCAAGAATTCATATTCTTTCGGTCTTTCGGTAAAGTCACGTCTGATTGGCTGAGGCTCTGCTGTCCACTTAGTTGGGCAGAGTTTGATGTGTGATTGGCTGAGGCTCTGCCGAAAATAACAAACAAAAATGAATAATAAACTACGACGTTATGATCACAACACAAGCGATCGTCATCATGAGGATCAGATCACGAATTTCATGTACTCTGTTAAATCGAACCTGGATCTTGTGTTTGTTCATGATTTTGGAGATCTTTATGCTATCATTTGTAAATGACGGATCGCTTCTGAAAAAGAGCTACAGTGTAGTGGGGTCTTTAAATGGTTAATAGTTTAGTTTCATAGTTTAGTTGAAATAGTTTAACCATCATTGTGAACAAAATAAATATTCGACGATGTCACCGTTTTGCTCGGAGTTTAGTTTGAAGGCATCACGGGAGGGGGAGGAGTCACGGTGGGATTTGGCCCCTCTCCCCCTGTTCCCCCTATGGACGGCCCTGGGTACTACAGCAATTTAAAACCGAAAAACATTTCGCGTACTCGAATTGTGTAAATGTTGTTGTGGCTTTGCTCTGCAACACACACAAGCGGTTAGTGCTTAAGTAGTCAATTAGTAACTAAAATTGGCACGTTTTGTGTTACGTGACACAAACCGCTCACTCGCTGGCTATGTTGGGAGGTGGTGGTGGGTTAGCAACACATTTATATTAACATTAAAAAATAACTTTATTGTGGATAAAACAAAAGACTGAACTACGTTTTATTTTTACCAGGTGTTAAAGCCCACTGAGTTGTATAGCTTATTGTTCATAAGCGACCTGGGTATGATAGCTCAACAAAGTTGATTAGAACGTGGACATTTATAGGAGCGGTCAAATACTTTCAATGTGTGATGTCCATTCTAAATGTGGAGGGAAAACCCGGAGGACCCGGAGAAGAATCTACGCGACCATCATGAGGAGAGAAAGAGAGAGAGAGACACGCAGACTCCAAATATACAAGGCCGGGCTCAAACCCACCGCCTGTATAACAGGCGAGATAGTTAACATCTCCTTGCCACCGTGGCGTCAGGGTCCAGGATCGAACCCACGACCTCCTGTAAACCAGGCGAGGGAGTTAACATCTCCTAGACACTGTGGGCATCAGGGTCTGGGATCGAGCCCACGATCCTCCTGTATAACAGGCGAGGGAGTTAACATTTCCTAGCCACTGTGGGCATCATGTTCTGGGATCGAACGCATGAAACTGTATACCAGGAGAGGTAGCTAACATCTCCTAGCTACCGTGGAATCAGGGTACGGGATTAAACCCATGACTGTATACCAGGAGAGGTAGTTAACATCTCAGCTGTCTCGTTATGCTCACGGTCTCAAACATTTAATGTGCAGTGTTGAGTCTATGTGCAGTATTACATCTATGGACAGTGTTTTGTCTATGGTGCTGCGTTGAGTCTATGGAAAGCAGTGTTGAGTCTATGGGTAGTGTTTAGTCTGTCGTGCAGTCTTGAGTCTTTGGTGCAGCGTTGAGTCTATGGTGCAGTGCTGAGTCTATCATGCAATGCTGAGTCTATGGTGCAGTACTGAGTCTATGGTGCAGTGCTGAGGAGTCTCTGAGTAGCATGATCCCGCTGCGACCCCTCTCCCGTCCCCAGGCTGTAAACATACGTCCACTATAAAAGTCCTCCACACGAGGGACGGCAACATCGACGTGAGAGACCCGCAGTGCGTTTCGGAGACGCACGTGAGGGTCCTCACGTCGTCGCTGTCGATCTTCACGGCGGTGCTCCGGTGGATCCCCGGGCTCGTGTACCACGTGCACGCGGCCGTGCTCGTTTTCAAGGTTCCCGGCTCGCTCACGAAGCTACAGCTGCACGTGGTCCCCTACGCTGACGCCAACATCGAAGTGAGTCGAGTTTTGCCCTTTTGCAGCGTCGATCGCGGGAGACTGTCTCTGTTTGTCCGCGCTTGATAACGGGGACGGGGGGGCGGCCGATGGGCGATTGAAGAGTCGCGGGTAATCCAAAAGTGTCACCGTTATTCCGCGGAAATCTCAAGGAAAGCCGAAAGTAAAGGCATAAATTACGTCAAAGCTTCTCCTGCTATCGCACAGTTTCGTAAATGTAAACTCACAAAATAAATGATCGGATAAATCGCTCAAAATGAAGCACAGCGGACAATTTTTATTGTTTAGATTTAATATCAGATCGATGTTGCACGGTTACTCAGTGATAACACTTTCCTGACTCCTGTCCAGGATAAGACTCGGCCCATTAATTGCAGAGCAAAGCCACAGCCAATCAGACATCAATCAAACTCTGCCCCACTGAGTGGATAGCAAATCCAGAGCCAATTAGACATCGATAAAACTCCACCACATTGTAATGATATTGCAACTATACTTTTGAGGCAATCACGTGGATTCCAGATTAGCTGGAGAAACACATGCAATAAACATTTACAAGAATAACAATGTTGTAAAACTGGTTTGTTTTATTAAAGGCCAAATCCATGAGTTAATATTTCATGTCAAAATCTCAGGTCCGCCGTTATTCCAGTAATTGCATAAAATGTACGGGGATAATCGAAAATTCACTGCAGTTATTGCTGTTGTAATGGTTTGGTGGACCATAGAACAAGATGGCCGTGTGTTGGTGGACCACGTGGCTGCGAGTCCTTAGCTTGAGGTGTGGTTGTCACACTTACAACGCGTTTCACTGTAATGCGGCGGCCAGGAGATATTAACTACCTGGTACACAGGAGGTCGTGTTCGATGTTGAGATGTTAACTACCTCGCCTGGTACACAGGAGGTTGTGGGTTCGATTTTGATTTGCTAACTACCTCGCCTGGTACACGGGAGGGTTGTGGGTTCGATCCCATACCCTAACGCGCACGTTGGCTAGGAGATGTTGACTACCTCGCCTGGCATGCAGGTATGCTGTGGTGTCGAGTCCAATGCTGTCGCATGCTGTATACTTGAGCTTTGCATGTTCTTCCCGTGGTGGTTGCATGGATTCTTTTCCTCAAGGGTGCTCTGGTTTTATTTCCCCTCCGCCTTTAGAATCAATGAGTTTTACTGCTAGCATGATTGTGTGGTTAATGCAGACTCGCTGGTGCCTTGTCGTGATAATCACTGTCTATTTGGCCTTTGAAGTTTATTACACCTCCTGTGTTATTGATACTGGAAAAAAATATCCTGCAAATATAGCTGCACGAGCCGAGCAGCCGATGCGTTGGCGTTGCGCAACTGCCCCCGTGCTCGTCCGCCTTTTGGCGTCTTGCATAATTGTTTGTGGTCGTTAAAAACGACGGGTCATCAAATCGGACGGCAACCCCCCTGACCCTGAGCGACTCAAGTCGGCACTGTTTGGCAGGCGTGCAGGGGGGCGGGGGCGGTGGGAAGCGATCTGACACCGTGAACCCGTTTGATTTCGCAGCGCCTGAAAAGGAAGCTGCTGCAAGAACGCTACGAGTATTACAACATTCCTCCCAAGTCGGACAACACGCTGGTGGTGGCCAAACGTTACGCGCTGAGCTGCGACTTCACCACGAAATTGATACAGCCGCAGGTGAGCTGCTCTTCCCGTTTTCGTCTGCGGTTGAAAATGTCGAGTTCAGGTCGTCGAGCGAGCGATTGTTTTCAACTACGGTTAACTCGCAATCAGCCACGCGAGCAGTTCGTCCAACCTGCGGATTAAACTGCGAGCGTTGAGATTTTGACAAATATTATTGACCCGTGTATTTTTCCCCCTGGAGCCCAAATTAATAATCTAAAAAAACAGTAGTACACAATCTTGATTTGAAGCTTTCGTGACTGCAGGAGTCCATACTCTTTGGTTCTTTCGGTAATGTCACGTAGGTATAAAATAAAATAGTAGTACACAATTGTGATATCTTGGGCTCCCTCGCCTGGTACACAAACTCCAAATATGGAGCAGCAAGGCATCATCAGGGTTGGGATCGAACCCACGACCTCATGGGATTTCTCCTCCAGTATAAATAAATCATATTTTTCTGAAACCAAACGAAAAGAGCTTACACACCATTGTGATATCTTGGGCTCCCTTGCCTGGTACACGAAAAGAACCCTCAGCCGTCAACGATGCGCGAGAAGGGGGGGGGGGATGGTATCCTCTTCTGATTTTTCTTTTTTGGCCGCCCGTTTCGTCCGCACAGGAACTGACGATGGAGAACCCGCCGAGCGACAACAACTTCTTTCACGTCTCGTTCGACGGCGCCTTCCAGGAGGTCTTCCTCGCCCTGACGAAGAGGGGCAAGCAGGAGAAATACGTCTGGACGAGAATGGTCCAATGGCGAGGTGAGATACACTTATTACTTCTTTTTTTACTCACAAAATACCTGGCCGAAATGTTCTGCCAACATGGTACGAAAAGTCACGTCTTCCTCAAGACGACTGCTTGTGTTGCGATCGAAACGTCGTAGTTTTTTTTTTCTTTGAACTTATCTACGTGACTTGAACCAAAAGACCCAAAAATAATGAATTTCTGCAGTCTTGCTTAAAGTCAACATGGTTAAAACGATTTAAAATCTACATTATGGGACCTCCGTTGCCAGCACTAAAATATGAGAATAGGTTTTCCCCTTTTTTCTGGCAACAAAACAGCCTTTTTAAGATGTTAAAACTACAATCTGAAAACTTTTACAATGAATCACGTCTGCATGAACAAAACTTGTGGTCAGAATGCAAACAAAAACTCTGATAATATATGTGCATTGAAACTGATTGGTTCACACCAGAGACAACTTTCATTTGAGCCTCGTCTAAAAACGTCAAAAGGCGTCCTCCGGTCTAACACCCTTTTTTGTTTTATTTCAGCATCTTAACGCCTGTTTTGTTACCAGAAAAAAGGGGAAACCCTATTCTCATATTTAAAATCTCTTATTTTTTTAATTTTCCCACTACTTAGCTGCATAGAAGCTCTTTGTCAGAAGTTTACTGGCTATCGCGAATGATAGCAGTACAACGAAATGGCTGATTGTAGAATCATCATCATCATCATTATCGTCGTGATCGTGTGGACATCAATAGCAGCCAAAAACTCCGGACGCATGGCGACGTCGATTCTAAATGTGGAGGGGAAAAGTCAGAGGACTTGGAGGCAAATGCAAGCAGTGACCATTACGAGCAGAAAGAGAGAGAGAGACGCAGCCTCGGAATATACATCAGCAGGCATCGTCATTGTTGGGATCAAACCCACGACCTCCTAAATACCAGGCGAGGTATTTAACATCTCCTAGCTACCGTGAAATCAGGGTCCGGGATCGAACCCATGAAACTGTATACCAGGAGAGGTAGTTACAGTAACATCTCCTAGCCACCATGGCATCAGGGTCGGGATTGAACCCACACCTCCTGCATACCAGGAGAGGTAGTTAACATCTCCTAGCTACCGTGGCATCAGGGTCTGGGATCGAACCCACGCCCTCCTGCATACCAGGTGAGGTAGTTAACATCTTCTAGCCACTGAGTTGTTCAAAAGTGGGTGGGGTGTGGGGTGCCGTTGAATGGCCGTGGGAGCAAAAACTCGCAACTCCTCATCTCACAAACACTTGTCATGTCAACCCTTCTCTCCCACCTCGCATCCCAAGACAAGGAGACAGCTCCCCAAGCCCCCGAAGCTGCAAAGAGTCGATGCGTCAGCCCCCAGAGTCCGGAGCAGCTCTTTGACAAGATCAGATCGGAGTTACCCACGTTGGTGGGAGCTCTGCAAGGCAACTTGACGCCCCTGCTCATTGAATTTGATGCAAAAAAGACATTGACGCCGCCGGAGATATCGGTAAGTGTCTCTTCACCGGGCCCTACCGGACACGTGTCTGTCATTGTAATGCAGCAATGAACGCTGTCAATGTGCAGTGAGTAACCCGTTTAACGCGAGTTCGCACTACCGGATTTTCACTCTGCCACGTTTTTTTTTCTCTTTTCTCCCACTACAACACAAGTACATTGCATGACAAACTACTCACTGCAACGTGAGCCTAGCGTGTGACAGACTCTTCACTATAACTTGAGTATAGCGTGTGACAGACGACTCACTACTACGTGAGTCTAGCGAGCAGCACCTATGAAGGCCGGAACGAGAGGGTGGGTGGCCAGCTCCACGCCCGGCCGCCTTTGGCTCCCTAGTAGCGATATTTACTCACCGCACCAGGTATTCATTTTAGGCTGAGTCGACCTAGGGGAGGCCCAGGACCCGTTCAAATAATCGTCACTGATGTTGGCCGTAAGCGGGAATCAGAATCAAATTAAATCGAACCCAGGTCGCCGGGTTCGTAGCGCAGTGCTCCCCACAGACACAAACACACACTGACACACAAATTACACACTAACACATTCACACACTGACACATATACACACACACTGACATGCACACACACACACGTACACACGAGTGCAACGCACGTGACCTGGCGCACGAGCTTGCTGCTACTGCCGCCTGCTGGTGTCTTCTGTCACCTCCAGCAAATCCGAGCGGTGTCCTTCGCAAACGGCGGATTCGAGGCCGCCAGCCAGCTGGTGACGCGCATCCTGGAGAAGCACGCGGGCATCTCGGTGCCCGTGTGGGAGGCGCTGTGGCAGACCCGCGACACCTACAAGAAGCTCCGCGGCCTCCTGAGCGACGTCTTCCCCGACAGGGATCCGTGAAATCCGCACACCACCACCACCATGGAGAGACGGAGGCCTCTCAGGAGCGTTTGGGCACCCGTCCACGCTTTGAAAGGAAAAAAGGGCACATTAAGCAAAGCATTGAAAGAAAAAAATACTCAATGATGAACGAAGCAAAGTGCCGACTACACCGAGCATCTTCTTGTTTCCTCTGATCGTAAACAAAAACGGACACGTGTTCTCGAAGATACTCGGGGCCCGTCCATAAATGATGTCACACACCTAGGGGGGGAGGGGGGGTCAGACATTTGTGACGATGTGTGACGAGGGGGGGAGGGGAGGGGGTTGAGAAATGTGACGTCACGTAAAAATGCGCAACTTTGAATAAATTTAAACGATAGAATTGTCATAACAACACTGATTTTGATTAATTTTCATTATTAACTGTTTGATTATTTTAATTAACTAAGGTCACCTTTTATTTATTCCATGAAGGAGCATTTTGCTTCTCCATGGGAGAATGGAGAAGCATGAATTTTGTAAATTTTGTGAATGATTGTTTTTAAACATTTTGATTCTAATGATTCTACCAGGGCTTTTTATTCTGCGAAATGAATATGTGATTGTTATAATTGTACTCTCCATTTGCCTTCGTTCGACTACTAGGTTTCAAGTACTTTTTATAGTTATAATTATTTTTAATATATTCGTTACGAGCATCATCACTCTACACTGCACTATACACTATGCACTACACTGTACAGGATAAGAGCCGCTGACTTAAGGGCACCGATGAGACAAAGCCATAGCCAAGAGGCTTCCTCTGGCACACAGGCCAATCATTTGTAACTCTATGGTGGCTAGGAGATGTTAACTTCCTCGCCTGGTATACAGGATGCCATGGGTTCCATCCCAGACCCTCGCATCCACGGTGGCTAGGAGATGTTGACTACCTCGCCTGGTACACAGGATGCCATGGGTTCAATCCCAGACCCTCACATCCACGGTGGCTAGGAGATGTTAACTACCTCGTCTGGTACACAGGATGCCATGGATTCGATCCCAGACCCTCACATCCACGGTGGCAAGGAGATGTTAACTACCTCGCCTGGTATGCAGGAGGTTGTGGGTTGGAATCCGACCCTGACGCCCCCGGTGGCTAGGCGATGTTAACTACCTCGCCTGGTATGCAGGAGGTTGTGGGTTCAATCCCAGACCCGAACTCCAAATGTTGACTGCCTCGCCTGGTATACAGGAGGTCATGGGTTCGATCTTGGACCATGATGCCCACAGTGGCTAGGAGATGTTGACTACCTCGCCTGGAACGCAGGAGGTCGTGGGTTCGATTGCGGACCCTGACGTGTGGTAGTGGACGTAGTGTGCCGGGGCTGGGTGGATGTTTTTTTTAATAACTTTTAACGAGCGACCGATCATCGCCAATTGAATCGCCGCGCTTCCGTCAAACGTCTAGTGTCTGGCGTCGCGCGGGAGATTCGAATCTGGGACCCCGCCAATTGTCACCCCTCCTTCAACCCCCCGGGAGAGTGAGCGCGTGTGTGTGTGTATGTACACGCATATGTGTGTGTATGTACACCCGTGTGCATGTAAATCGGTGGGGAGCGGTTAGTGCTTCGCTGCGCGACCCGGGATCGATTCCCATGTAGTAAACATCGCCACTGGGGAGACAAAGGCGGCCGGGCGTGGTGGCGCTGGCCACCTACTCCCTCGTGTGCCGTGCCGGCCTTCATAGCTGCTGCTCGCTAAGAGCACTTGCCCCTACAGTCTGTTAGAGGCTACACGTGGGAATATTTGTGTCTTTGCCTATTGTGAATAGGTTATGATTTTGTGGTTTAAAATTAATGGCAATAAATTATGGTGAGGAGATTCGTGCAAGGATCCGCGATCCTCCGTCCGTCCGTCCGTGCGTCCTCGTCTGAGATCTTTGGCGCCGGGGAATCGTTTTATGGATTAGGATCATCATCATCGTCGTCGTCATCATCACACTCCGTGTGTGTGTCTGTCTGTGTCTGTCTGTCTGTCTCAGCAGACAGACAGACAGACACAGACTAAGCACCTGCCTGGGTATTTTGTACCATCGGACACTCCACCTCCACAACTCCCAATCGGTGATGGGGCAGTTGTGGAGAGAGTGGAGAGTTTCCCATACCTGGGCAGTGTGCTTATGACCAGCTCCAGTTTATTCATCGGTTGCGTAACGCTGTGTGGAAGCTACCTGATCTGTCGCTCCGCACGAAGCTTCAGGTCTTTTCGGCCACGGTCATTCCCTCCCTTCTCTACGCTTGCGAAACGTGGACCCCCCTAATGGAGCATCTTCGCCGGTTAGAAACATTTAGGCTGGCCTGCCTACGATCCATCCTGGGTTTAACCAGGCTGGATTGTGTGAAGAGCTCACAAATCCTTGAAAGATTTGGGCAAAGTCCCATCGGTGAGCTCCTCCGGCAGGCAAGGCTGCGTTGGCTGGGTCATGTAGCCCGCATGCCCAGCCACCGCATGCCTAAACAGCTTTGTTCGGCCAGATCGAGGGGGCTAAGCGGGCGCGGCACGGGCTAGAGAAGAGATGGAGTGATGTGGTACAGGAGGACGTGGAGCTGAGTGGACTTGCCGATGACTGGTACCAGTGGTGTCAAGATCGGCCTCAGTGGAGGAGGCCCGTGAAGGACGCTACTGGGCAGTTGGAGGCAGTCGCCATCCAACAACAACAGAGGGCGGAGGAGCGACGCTCACAACAACGAGCGGAGCGCCGGGTGGCTAAAGCACAGCAAGTTGGTACAGTAGGGGGCACAGGTGGTGCATCAGCCAGTCATCTCGGTCATCTCGGTCAGTCGACCCATGGCACCTGGGTCTGCCCCGTGACCTCCTGCCAGCGGGCGTTCGACACTTCACGTGGCCTCAAGGTGCACTTGGCCTGGCATAAGCATCGTGGTGACGTCACCGCCACTTAGTGGCGAATGACGGTTGTTGTTGTCTGTCTGTCTGTCTGTGTGTCTGTCTGTGTCTGTCTGTGTGTATGTCTGTGAGTGGCTGGCTGAGGTGCCATCCGTTGAGGAAGTACTGAAGGCAAGCCAGAGTCTGAGACCAGGAAAGGCACCGGGCAGAGATGATCTCCAAAGCGAAATGCTAAGGGAGGGTGGCGTTTGTGCACAGACTGCCCTACATGACATCATAACAACAATCTGGGCCACTGGACGGGTTCCGCAGGATTGGAAGGATGCCCTGGTGGTCCCCCTCTTTAAGAAGGAGGACCGCACAGACTGTAACAACTACAGGGGCCTCTCACTCCTCAGTGTGCCGGGAAAGGTCTTGGCAAGGATTATTCAACATCGCCTTGCCAGGCACGCTGAGGAGAGGCTTGCGGAGCCCCAATGCGGTTTCAGGAAAGGGCGGTCCTGCACAGATGCCATATTTTCTGTCCGTCTGCTACAGGCTCCTCCAGAAACAACGCAAAAGCCACTACGGATGGCCACGTGGAATGTTTGAATGCTCACTGTGGAGGAGAGGCTGCCACTCCTCTGTCGGAAGCTGGACCGGTATTCAGGAGGTCCGTTGGATCGGCTCTGGCTCCTGCCACCATGAGGGGTGGACAGACCTCTACTCGGGGTAGGAGACTGCCAAACAACAGGGTGTGGCTCTTCTTCTGAACAAAAGAATGAAGGGGGCGTGGGAGCGTGGCGGTGAGGTGTGAGAAGTTGTAAGCCCCAGGCTACTTTGGGCTCGCCTTCCAATCAACATGAGGCGAGGAGTGGTGGCCGTGGTTACATATGCCCCCACTGAAGACGAACATCAGTTTAGAGATGCAGGCAAGGCCGATAAGTAAGATGCCTTCTATGACTTCCTGTCACAGGTGCTAGCTAAAGTTGCCCCTCGGGATAGATGTATCCTCTTGGGTGACTTTAATGCCCGAGTTGGTCATGATGCTGGCACCTGGTCTGGAGTGATTGGAAGGCATGGGCCAGATCAGCTCAATAACAACGGTAGGAGGCTGCTAGATTTGTGTGTAGCCCATGGGCTTGTAATTACCAACACGCTGTTCTGCCATCGGCGCATCCACACAACATCATGGATGCATGCCGAGTCCAAGCAAGAACATCTGCTGGACTACATAGTGATGGGACAGCGGATGCAGGCCTATGTCTTTGACACCAGGACTTACCGTGGAGCTGATCTGCCCACTGACCATTGACTTGTCATCTGTAAGATGCGCCTGCCATTCTTCCACTCCGGTGGTGGGTGTACATCCATGACCCTATTCAAACCCTTAGTGGCATGGTCTCAGCTAGCTGATGAAAGTTGCATGCGAGAATTTCATCATCACTTGCGACTGGGTTTGCTATTGTCTCCCACTCCTGATGTCGAGGGGAAATGGACGAGGTTTAGGATTGTGGCTCATGCAGCTGCAATGGCTGATTTGGGTACACGGTCCAGACACCCACAGAGAACCTGGCTGACAGAGGAGGTTTTCCGACTGGCTGAGAAAAAGCGATTGGCCCACTCTCATCGTTTACAGCATCCCACATCAGAGAATGAGGAGGCTTACCGCAGCCTTCGCTCGGACGTTCGGAGAGCTGTGAGGTGCTGCAAGGATGGGTGGTGGTCGCGGGTTGCTGAGGAGATGGAAGCTGCCTCAGTGGCCCGCGATCACAAATTACTCTTTAACTCCATAAAAATAAACTTGCAGCACCACTCCTATCACCATCATTAGGGAAAAGCACGGTGATCTGATCTCCGACCCCAGGAACAAGTTTGCATATTTTTTTACTGAGCATTTTAGTGAGGTCTTGAAGCAGGGGAATTCCATCAGTCTGCAAAACATCATGGGGCAAAGTGGGCATGACCCTGCTGAGGCTGCGGTGCCTCGAGTATTGGAAGAAGAAGTCACCCTCTATGCGTGGCTGACTGAGCTACCATCTGTTGAGGAAGTACTGAAGGCGATCCAGAGTCTGAGTGTCGAACTCTCACTGACAGGAGGTCTCCGGACAGATCCAGCAGGTGCCATGGGTTGGCTGAGATGACCGGTAAATGCACCACCTCTACCCTCTACTATGCCAGCGTGCTGCATTTTAGCCGCTCAGTGCTCCGCCCATTGTTATGAGCATCACTCCTCCGCCCTCCGTTGTTGCTGGAGGGCAGCTGCCTCCAACTGCCCATTAGCGTCCTTCACGAGCCTCCTCCATAGAGGCCGATCTTGACACCGCTAGTTTCAGTCGTCAGGAAGTCCACTCAAATCCACATCCTCATGTACCACGTCTGCTCCATCTCTTCTACAGCCCATGTCGTGCTCGTTTAGCCCCCTCGATGCGCCCAGACAGAAGCCGCTTGTGCATGCAGTGGCTGAGCATGCGCTACATGACCCAGCCAATGTAGCCTTGCCTGCCGGAGGAGTTCACCGATGGGAATGTGTCCAGATATTTCAAGGATTTATGAGCTCCTCACACAATCCAGCCTGCAGGTTAAACCCAGAAGAGATCATAGGCATGCCAGACTGAAAGTTTTCAACCAGCGCAGATGCTCCATTCGAGGGGTCCACGTTTCACAGGCATAGAGAAGGGAAGGAATGACTGTGCCGAGAAGACCCAAAACTTTGTGCGAAGCAGCAGACCACGTAGATTCCACACAGCATTGCGCAGCTGATGAATGCCGCTCAACTGATTCGTAGCATTATGATCATAGTTTTAAGGTGCTATGATCATCGTCCTATGATAATGAAATCAAAGATTTACTCGATGAAGGTACCTACCTTAAAATTAAACGAGACCCAACCAACACATTGGAATGTAAAACAACGGCAATCATTGCCACGTCACTCATTCCCAAGGAAGAGCAACACCTGATCAAACCAAAGGCATCAAAACCACCAAGACTTTGTGGTCTACCAAAAAATTAATCACAAACCTGATGTCCCGTTAAGACCCATAGTTAATACAATAGACTCTTAGCACAATACGTAACAAAACAAATACAGCCCTACATCGGTAGGACCTCTTCGTTCACCAAAAAACACTGAACATCCTGTAAATATAATAAGCATATATAATAGCCCAGATCTGTCATTATTTATTTCATTCTGTGCCTGTGATTAACGTGGCACGGATTGGTTGAAGTGCATCACGTGACCGCGAGCAAGCAGCCAAGCAGAGGTGAGCCCCTCCCAAACATGTACGCCCCCCAATGGTTGAAGTGCGTCACGTGACCGCGAGCAGCAGACAGGTGTGTGAGAGTGCGGAGGCGGGTGAGTGAGAGTGAGGCAGAGCCGTGCTCCGACCACTGCTGCCCTGAGGGACCCCGCTGCTCTCCAATGTTGGCTTTAGGGAGAGCCGCGCTCGCTCCACTGCTGCCGTGAGGGAGCCAGACGCACTCTCTCCACTGCTGCCCTGAGGCAGAGCCGCGCTCTCTCCACTGCTGCCCTGAGGCAGAGCCGTGCTCTGTCCATTACATTAGTACTGGAGTTTTTTTGGTGCTTAAATCCACTGCTGGATGAATGCCCACCGCACGCTGGGCGAGTGGATCGTAAGGATTTACTTGACCAGTCTGTTGGGGGCCGCCGCATGCTGTGGTTGTTGGGGGGCGCCGCAGGCTGTGGTTGTTGGGGGGCGCCACATGCTGTGGTTATTGGGGGACGCCGCAGGCTATGTTGTTGGGGGGCGCCATAGGTGCCCCACAACAACCTAGTTTAATATATTAAGCTTAATCCTAATGATATTCTAGTAAGTTTTGATGTGACCTCTCTGTTCACGAGGGTTCCGGTCAATGTGTAATGGGTTCCAGAGACACTTGTAGAGG